AGCTGGAAAATGTGTACGAAGCTGAGCGTCGACGGTCACTTGATGAGGACCGGACCTGGTGGCAGCATGCCTCCGATGCTGGAGGTTCCATTCTCAACAAGCAACCTGTGATGCGAGCAAGTGGTGGGAACAGCATCAACTGCGCAGAAACCGTTGCCACAGGCGAGTATGTCTGGAAAATCGAAGGCTTCTCCTGGTTGAAGTGCATGCTGATGCAGGAAGAGGAGGACTATGTTGTCGCCTCCATGCCGTTCCAAGTCGGCAACGAAACGTTATTTTTTTCCTACAGCCCGTGGGGAGACTATTTGTGTGATCAGCACCATGGGTCTCTCGCAATCCTGCCTGACACGAGGGAGTGTGTCGCGATTCGGTATCGCATCTACGTCAAGGCTTGGAACGGTGAGTTTGTGCAGTGGGGCGACACGCGCGACGTCGTCCACCGCGGCGACAGGAACAGGTCGGGTGCATATGGCCCGGATGTGCATTGGCCAGATCATCCTCCTGCTTCTCTGGGAATCTTCGGCCTAAGCTATGAAGAGCTGCTGCAGTCCGAGTGGGTGGAGAACGACACTCTTACGGTGAAGTTCGAGCTCGAAGTCCGTCCTTATGACTACGCAAGCTCACGGCCCTTGAGCCTTGCCGCGGAGGTTCCTGCCCCAACTATGAGTGACGACACGCACGCGCTGCTGGAGAAAGGCAACGTCAGCGACGTGCAACTCATGGTGCAGAACGAGGTGATCCATGCTCACTCGCAGGTTCTGTGTGCACGATCCGAGGTATTCAGCAAACAGCTGACGGCGGGCATGCAGGAGAGCGTTTCCAAAGTCGTCGTGATCGAGGACTGCGATGCTGCCACCTTCAAGGCCTTTTTGCAGTTCCTTTACACCGACCAACTGCCGGACGCGCAGGAGCTCCTTCCGAAGGGGGCCTCAAGTGCAAACGAGACAGAGAGTGGCAGCCCTCAGTTGTCTCGAATTCAGGCACTTCTGGCCGTGAGCCACAAGTATCAAGTGAAGCGTCTTCAGCTCTGGTGTGAAGCGAGGCTTTCAGAACAAATCGTCAAGTCACAGGTTTGCGGCATCCTTTGCCAGGCCCATCTCCTGCAGGCGAGGCAGCTGGAAATGGCGTGCCTCTCCTTCATCAAACACCACATGAGCCAAGTACTCATGATGCCTTCCTACGCCGATCTGATCAGGAAGTGGCCCCAAGTCGCACTGAAGATCAGCCTCTTCTCGGCAGGCGTGTCGGAAACCGAGGCGCTGGCCGCCATCGACGCTTTCGAAAAGCCGCAAGAGCTACAATGGGAAGAGCTCACCGATTCGGGAGAGTTCCTGTACCAGTAGCAGCCCAGCAGGCACCTGGCGTCCCAAAGCTCCGTACTGTAAACTCAAGGTGCTTGTTGGGAACGCACAGAGAGTTTCACGACACGCACGTGCACAGCTACAGCCAAAGGTGCTGTACAACGAAGCGTCATGCAACAGGTGTCGACGCCCGAAGCTGGCATGAAAGCAGCTCTGACCACGAGTTTGGGGAGGGCTGCAGCATCTGTCGTGGGGAAGGGGCGACCAGTTGCCTGATTCCCCGTTCCTGTTGGTGAAGGTAGAAAGACAACTCCGCAGGCAGCAATCGGCTGTAAACCTGCATCCGCAACCCAACAAGGCCGGAGCTTGTTCAGTGACAACATGTTGAACTCCTGACAACACGAACCAACTTCTAGTCTCAACCCCGTCCCGTGATTACAGGCCAGCTTCCCAAAACAGGTTCCTATTGCCAGAGTATTGGTAGACGTGCTGGTGGTGGCGTGGCGGAGCAACGTAGCCAAAGCACAACTGCCCCCAAGAAAGGGAAACTAGGACGTCCACGAGTTGGTACTTATTTGTTTGTTGTTCCTGCTCTTGTGGCGCCAGCGGCACAAGTGCGTTTCTCACGAACAACCAGAAAGCCTCGGACTGACAATGATGTCCATGTACGGTTTTTATATACGCCTGCAGGATGCAGGGCAAAGTACAGCTGCAGCGCGCAGCATGGGGGAGGACGACTCACAGGTTCGCGTCCAGAGGGATTCCAAAAGAAAGATATCCAGCATTTCGGACTTTGGGTTTGGGCGGCTCAGGATTGGCATTCAGAGCTTGTGTCATAGTGTGGGTTTCGCCAGAGCACCCCAGGTTCACTCAGAGTTCGACGGCCTCCATCCTAGCCCTTCCTGCCTGCCCTCAAGCCTCAAGCCTTGTGCGAAGGGCTTGGCACAAGTCGCGGGTTGGTTGCAACAGTATCCACGATCTCGTTTGATGCAGACTTCCCGCTGCAGTGTCTACACCTATCCCTATCCTCAAGGCGGAAGATCCCGCGGGAGACCAGCATCTCAAGGAGCATCCGAGCATGCAGCCTGCATTTAAGTGCAGCTCCGAGATAAGAAATGTGGAGTCCGGGTACGAGTGTCGGTACCTGGATGCTGCAGCTTCAGTGCTATCTTGGGCAATTCCGAGCTGAACGTGTGAGTGTGTGTGGGTGGTTGATTGGACGGCGCCAAGCAAGTTTGAACCCATGCCTCGCTGTCCAAGGAATAGTTCCTGCGGACCTCGTCTGAGGACCGCCAGATGAGAGAATGATTGTCCCGCCGGAAAATCTGGAACACATGGGCCGGTGAAGAGGTGCACAGTGAGAGCTGCTACGTCCCGTGGATAGAGTCACTGAGTTCTCCAGATGCGATATACGATGTCTCGAGATGTTGCCATGGCGGCGACCTTTATTGCTGTTTCCACAGCTGAAGATCTCAAGCCTCACATGTAGACGTCCTAGCAAGTAAGCGGATTCTGTAGCGGAGCCTGCCCTTCTGAGACAAGCTCTCAGAGGTGCCAGACACAAGACCAATGAGTCTGCACAATTCGGCCTGAACAGTCGAAGGTTGGCCTCTCCTAGATGCTCCATCCTCCATTCCTTGGTTTGTAATTGCAACTGCTACCTTCAATCATAGATTCATACGGCCTGTTCAGGCACGCCAGGATCTCAAGGCAGGATGCCAGCCCGACTGCACGAAGCTCGCCTGCTTCCCGCCCAACTCCAAGACTCTAAGACTGCCCTGCAGTCAGAGCACTGAGCACAAAACCCAATGGACGCAGCAACATGACGGATCGGGGGTGGCTTCCTGTGGTCGGACGACCGCGTTAAGGCCAAAGCTGTGCAGCGTGGACGGACCTGGCTGCCTCAAGCCTCACGTGCGGAACCAATCCGAGATCCTTGAACCTGTAGCTTTGAGGGCTCATGTGGCTGATGGGTGTAATTATGGCAGCTGCTGGAAAAATTACCCCGATCCGTAAATTCTTTGATCAGCTCCCAGGCATCAGATAATACTTGGGACCACAACTTTAGTCCTCATTTCCGGAAACGGAGGCTTGGGCCGTTTGGGCTGGGATCTCAACCTCCAGAGTGAGAAGGATGCAAAAAACGGCAGCGTCATGCGCACGGTCGGAGTGCCAGCCCAAGGGAAAAGGCGGTACTCATCAGTAGATAGACGTACCAGGAGTGATGGCAAGGCCACAAGAGAGTCAGCAGAATGAGCCAGGAACTTGGTATCATCAGCTCCAAACTATTTGGAAGACTCGGGTCTTGGGGTGAATTAAGAGGTCGGCTTCTGCGGCCTTAACGAGTTGCCCTTGGTGCAGCTCGGGAGGGGCAAGTGTGAGCTCAATTGCGGCATGTTTGGCATTTGGTGTTCGTTCATCCGTGGGCTTGTGTCTGAGTCTAGATATCTGAACCTCCCTTCCAGCACAAAGTAGCAAGGACCCCTTGCAAGCGGCGCCAACAAACGACCTCTTGCCAGGTCCGAACTGATACGACGATGCAAACCACGGCCTGGCGCATGCCTTTTATATATATATATATATAGTATACTATAGCCGTTGTTGCAACTGTTCCCCGGCAGGCCATGGTCCTCTTCTGGCGGCCGAGACCACAGTCTTGTGCTTCGGGGATCTGCGGGCTGCAACAAAAACTTCTGAACCAAAAGGCACACGCGTAACCAAAAGAATCACCACGTCACTCGCAAGAAGAACCAGTAGGCTCATCTTCTTGTGATACGCTAGGTGGCGCGGCGATTGACTTCAGCAAACATGAGTGCAGTGCAGGGTGCGTACTGTCACGGCATTCCTCCGTGCATAGTCTGCAAGGTTCGGGAGGTGAATCAGGCGAACCTAGCGCAAGGTTGTGGATTGTCGACCCTTTCAACTCTTAAACTTCCTGGATGGCACTTTGCCGGTGCGTTGACGTTGCCGTCGCTCGTGTTGGGCTGCCCAACAATATCCAACAGTGAGCAACAGGAATGCCTCAATAATTGACTCATAATTGAGAGCCTTCTTCGAGGATTCTTGTAAACGACGAAGATCTCGAGATGCTGATGCCAGTGGCGGAACCAGTGTGCATCGGGACAGGTCTTGCAACTGCGTATGTTGTGGTGCTCTCGGTCGTGATCCTCTAGTGACTCTAGTGTTAACGATCATCCACAGCAGCTCGAGCCGGTAGTTCCAATTGCTTGGTACTGTAGCCGTCGAGTGTGGCACGCCCACACCTTGAGGAGCTTCGCAACTCTGGCAGATGCCACTTGCAAGATTCCGAATTTTTTGGCCCAAGACTTTAAGTTTCATTCTGATTTGATAGTGTAGACCAAAACCCAGCTGCTGCGCAGCAGCTGCCTGCAGGAGCAGACGAACCTGGAGAGTTGATGGGTTGTGTCAAGATGGATGGGATCGACTGACGTCACGAGAGATTCTCAAGACTTCGGTTTTCTGACTGGATGGAGGAGGGTTCTTACTACCGCTGCAAATGGGGCCTCCTTTCGCACCCACATGTTCGCAAGTCCACAGGAGCTATCCTGAAGCCCCCCCTGCTGAAGGCTCCCCCTGCTGCACCTTGAACATGAGCATCCTCACCCGGAGACCAGAGTTCGAAAGTCAGTTGTTCGTCCTGTTGACAGGCCCACACCACGGCAGACAACTGTATCCCACATGTCCGTGGCTGACGCAGGCTATCCAAAGGATGCTCGGCACGAGAGTACCACTGTAGTGCTGTGTTGCTGACGGCATCGCTGCAATCATCGTCTACTCCCAAATCTACATTGCTTGGCCGAGCGATGACGATAAAGCCACAGCTCGTGAATCCATTGTTGTCGAAACCGATTCCTGAAAATCATTGCAAGATTCTTGAAGAGTGAGATGGGTTTGCAACAGGTCTGCCAAAGCTTTAGGACTTCGGGACATCTGGGCTCGAAAATTCACATGAAGGGTTACGGCCTGAGGATCTGCTCAGCGACACACGGAAGTATCAACGACCAGGCCAGCAGGGCGAATATCGCAGTGAGTGTGGGCGTGTTCTTGGACTGCCAGAGCCCTCCCGAGTTTGAAGCCGGTGGCAGAGACTTGATTTCATGTCCATCTCCTAGACCGTGCACAGCACAGAGCTTCCTCGAATCTCCTGTGGCACCCGAAAACGCATCGCATGATCTGTGATCACAGGTATAGCACGTCCTGGTTTCAAGGTTCTTTTTCTGGTCAGGCATGTCCGCATTACCAGAACAGAGCGGCAACCTGCAGCATGCAAGCGCACACCTTACGTCAGGCTGTTCAGAAAATAGGCGGCCTGCAGGAAAAAACCGGATAGCAAGATCCCTACAATAAACATCTTTGCTCAGTGAGGATGTTTGGAGCCCACCCCGCCAGCTTTGTTTCCCCTCCGTTGCTGACGTGTTAGATGTGATGATGCTTGGAGCCCGCCTCGCCAGCTCTTCATCGCTTGCCGTCCTTTCAGCCTATAGGCTAGCTTTCGTTTCTTTGGCCCCGCCCCTCAAGTCTTCCTGATGTCCTGTTGTGGCAGCTACTGAGTAAAGGCAATCAGAGAATGCGTAAACATTTACGCCGAACACCTGATACCGTAAGCCCGGTCCGTTCCCAATCCTGAAGATTTGACTGCGCCTTCGCGATCGCTGCTTGTGCAGTTGCGGGAATGCAGGCGGGCGACTGAAAGGCCCGAGCACAACTGGACCCGGACACCTCGACGACTCAGTGGACGTGCTGGGGGAGACTAAGGCAAGGGACTTCGGATAAGGAGGTTCTCACCTTTCTGTTCTGGCAAGTGCAAGTAGTAATCAGTGTTGTCCCTCTCCTGTTCTGCCTAAGTAGCCAAGACGTGTTGTACCCAGGTATGTTGACTCAAACCATCACCTGCACCCTGCAAGATCCAGGTGGTGGATCGAAAGGCTTTCCCTGCATCAGATCGAGATGATCCGAGCCTCGGCTACCTTCTGCCCCGACTCGGCGCCCATGAGCCATACAGTTTGAAGTCCGTCAGCATGACTTTCTTAATGGGAGGACAGCACTCATCTAGCCGGCTTTCCGCCCTGCCTGCCTCTAACCTCCGAATGCACACTGGACCACTTCCAGTGCTTTCGAAGAACTTCAGGAAATCAGTGTAGGAAATACAGTGCCGTCCGGCACCGGCGTTCTTGCTTCCGGGGTTTCTCTCCAAGCACACGCGGCAAACCTTGACCTCCGCGTAGTTCTGCGAGCACGGACACTAGGAGGGGTTGGTGACGGTCTTGCAGCTCAAGGCGTGATAGTCAAAGCAGAGACGATGGTCAAGGCAGTCGGAGGCCCTAATGCCCATGTTGTAAATCTGGGCTACACTCTCTTCGACTACGCCGCAATATGCCATGCCGGCTATGCGTCTTCGATTGTCAGTTCCCTCCTTTGCCTACTACTAGTACTACTCGTACTACTGGTACTACTAGTACTACGAGTACTACTAGTACTGCTAGTGCTACTAGTACTACTAGTACTACTAGTACTACTAGTACTACTAGTACTACTAGTACTACCAGTGCTACTAGAAGTACTACTAGTACTAGTAGTACTACTAGAAGTAGTAGTAGTAGTAGTAGTAGTAGTAGTAGTAGTACTACTACTACTACTAGAAGTAGTAGTAGTAGTAGTAGTAGTAGTAGTAGTAGGAGTAGTAGTAGGAGTAGAGGTAGGGGTAGGAGTAGGAGTAGGAGTAGGAGTAGGCGTAGGCGTAGGCGTAGGCGTAGGAGTAGGCGTAGGAGTAGGAGTAGGAGGAGGAGGAGGAGGAGTAGGAGGAGCAGGAGCAGGAGCAGGAGCAGGAGGCAGTAGGAGTAGGAGTAAGTAGGAGTAGGAGTAGGAGTAGGAGTAGGAGTAGGAGTAGGAGTAGGAGTAGGAGTAGGAGTAGGAGTAGGAGTAGGAGTAGGAGTAGGAGTAGGAGTAGGGGGGTAGGGGTCGGAGTTGGAGTAGTAGTAGTAGTAGTAGTAGTAGTAGTAGTAGTTGTAGTAGTAGTAGTAGTAGCAGCAGCAGCAGCAGCAGTAGTAATCGTCGTCGTGGTGGTGGTAGCCGTAGCAGTGGCAGCAGTAGTAGTAGTAGTAGTAGTAGTAGTAGCAGCAGTAGTAGTAGCAATAGTAGCAGTAGTAGCAGAGTAGCAGTAGTGACCGCCCAAGGCCAGCTCCCCCTCCGCCGTGTCGCGGTAGCAAGATCCAAGATTGGCACTTTTCTGGCGATTGTGGGATGATGACTCCGGGGTATGTATGGGTTTAGTGCTTTTTCAATCTGTGGGTCTGCCGTAGAGGTAGCGGCTTGGCGAGTCAGAAGGTACTTGGACGTTTCTTGAAGGCGTGAGTGGACAGCGAGTTCAGTTGGCCCAATAGCCCTAACCTTACACCCTAAACTTTGAGCCTAAGAAGAGACCCGCGCGGACTTTGCGCAAGCGGTGGGCGGTCTCTTGCAGGAAGAAGAAGATTCAGCCCGATGACGAGGGGACGCTGTTTGGCCCCGACGGCATGCCACTGAAGGCACGGGGTCAAGTGCAAAGGTGCTATGGGCGCAGCAGTTTTAGCAGCGTCATCATTAGTTTGTAAGATCCTCCACGACTCCAATGTAGTGCAAGCCAGCCCCTGCCCAGGAGGGGGCCACGATGATAGAGGATGAGGACGCTGGGGTTTGCATACCCGTGTAAAGACCATCCCCCCTTCAAGAAGGGACCTCCAGAAGGGCTTAGCGGCTTAGCAATGCTATTTATCGGAGGATGCAGGCAACAAGCCAGAAGTAGCCCCTGTGGAGTAGACTCAGGCAGAGTATCCAGAAGGCGGCTGAGGAATCTAGCAGGCTTGGCGAGTTCAGGAAACCGAAAGCTTTTTGGGATATTGTGCGGGGCTCAAGTGTCCAGCAGCTCAGCTTCCAAAGAAATGACACTTCCTGCGTCAGGAGGGCCACTTGAAGCCCAAAGTGGAGGATCACCAGAAGGCCCAGAGATACCCGAAATGTCGAAGATGCATCTTTCCAAGTTTGCCCGAAGTCCATCTGAAGAAACTGGAGACTGGAGGTCGAGATGCACGACCAGGGCTGGTTCCATGCAGAGAGCAACCGCTACGAGCAGGATGATTGCATGACTGCAGCAACTCGTAAGTTTCAACCTGGATTCTGTTGGTGCGATTTGTGGTTCTTCCTCGCCTTGTTGACAAATCTTTCTGAGAACTCAAGAAGCATTTATGACATGGTGCTGTTGAGGGTGGGGCTCTGCGTTTATGTAAACGTTTTTCAGCTAGGGCCCCTTCGCCGGTATAGCATCGATGTTTCTTTCCGTCACAACTTCTTACCCCCCTTGAAGGAGGAGCTGGCGAAGGCTCGGATTGCTTGTTGCTCCCGATTGGGTGGGCATGTGGACTACACATCGCCTGAAGAAACTAGAAGGGCTCATCCGACAGGACTTTATCTCACTCCACAAGCTCACGAAAAAATGACACTCCGGTACATCTAGACTAGACACAATGCTGTCAGGGTGCACGATCTCTTGCAACCTGAAATCAAAAAAGCCTGCATCGCAACCAGATGCACATCGTCAGCATTTGCGACGCCGTGCGGCAGCGGCAGGCAAGTCAAAGTGATTCTTTCTCAGGATGCTCAAGGTGTTTGGATTACCGCATGCGGCATTGCCTGTGCAAGCTCTACGGAGTGCCCTCCCTACGCCTATGCCCTGCTCATGGCAGGGCGTCGGGCTTTGCCGTGATGGGCGCTGGACAAACAGCAACTTGGCAGAAGTTGGACGAATCAGGCTGCGGATTCGTCATGCAGGCGTCCACAGCTTTTGGCAGGAGTGCAGGATTGTGAGGTTCTCGGATTTGAAGCCGGCCGTGCGAGGCTACATTTTCGTACCTCCAAAACAAGACCCTCCGCTATCATGCAGGGTCGGGCAACGGTAAAGATGATGTGGTGGCTTTTCTTGGCCTACATGGTAAGACACCAGCCCCAGCTGCTAGCTGTAGAGTTCTTCCGGCTTCTTTGGTCACGATGCTGCCGGAATCGGGAGGCAACTTTGGAAACTGTGAGTTTGGTATGGGAACCCTTGAAACTTCAAAATGCGGATTCTTCAGTGGGAGTTTCTTAATCTTTCTCTGTACCACACAGCAACCACCACTCCCAGTGTATACGGCGCTGCTACTGCTGCTGGAGCATTCGCAGCTTCAGGCCCGCATGAGTTCCCTGACCTCGGCCTGACTGGCACCGTGCTGTCGAATGTCACTCGGCACAGAGGGGTCAGGATCCTTGTTCTGCAACCGTCAGCCCATTGACAAATTGGACCAAGCCCTGCGGAGCCTTTGAGGGCAAAGGTTCCGAGGTGCCCCGTCCGCGTACTCCGTGCCACTCCACTACCTACCAGGTCCTATGTGGACGACCTCAGCAGTGGTATCACGAATAAGACGAATGCACAAAATCAGCAGGCCCTCAACCTAGCGGCCACGGTCCTAAACGCCTGCGGCATTCGCCCCCCAGGTGAATGCCTGCCCAAAATGGCAACTGGGGAAGAAGAGGTTTTTCGAGTATGAAAAGGTCGTGAGGTTTTTTTTGGGAGTTGGTAGCATGCAGGCCTTCGCTGAGGTTCGGCAGGGGTGCTTTCAACGAACACCAGAGTTTAGTGAGCGACATCAGAATCGTGACCAGGGGATCCTCAAGTGTGCTGTGAGAGGCGTTGGTGCCCTTCCCGCCCAACGATCAGCAGTGCTGGCCTTAGCCCAACTTACTTTAGGTCGAGCTGCTTGCGATAGCTCGCTGTGAGTTGGAAATAGAAGTCTGGAAGTAGAGGGGGCAGCAGCTGTGCTTGTACCAAAATCTCGGAAGGGGTCGGAGTTTGCCAGCGACCAGCCCAATATGCAGTGGCAAGCCGCGTCCGCACGCGTGATAGCATATTAAGCAAGAGAGGTGCTTTCAGGCAGCAAGACTCCCATTGTTTGGGAGTTACCTTCAAAAACATGAGTGACAAGTATGAGCACCGTTGACGAGATCTTGAACCAGTGACATCAAGTAACAATGTAGCACCCTGTTCCCATATGCTATATTTTCAAGTCAAGTCTCTAGAACATACACATCCGCAACATAGCGAGCCGTGGCGGGCTGCTTTGATTCAGCCGCGACCTGGCTTGGGCTCGAGAATGCCTGTGGAGCCTCGCTGGCCCAGGTGGAAACTGCAAAGCCCCTGACCTTGGCTTCATTGCTCAGGTACTACATCTGCGGCAAGTACGACTCAGAAGAGTCTTTGCTGCGGCCGCCGCTCGGAAGTTTACAAGTATACAAGTATCAGAAGTTGAGAAGAGACCGCTGAAGCCATAAGCTCACTGCGGGCTATGTGCTCGGACAGCGACTCGCCTCGCTCCCTATTCACCAACTTTCACCAACACTCTTGCAGTCGGTCTTGGTGCATTAGTGTTGGGAAGCCGGCTTCAGTTGATGTAGATCACAAGCAAGGCTCGATGTAGGTCTTGGTAGATTGCACATGCAGACACGACCAGAGAGATCGCCGCCTGAGGACAGCAGTCCCCAACTTTGCGCATGATGGGCATGGGTCGAGCACGTGGTTAAGGCCCATCACTGTGCGCACGACACTGTCGGATGGTATGGCCGTTGCAGCACATGGGGTGTTTCTCACAACGTGTAGTTTGCCTGTCCACCCCGGGTTTGGCAGTGCCATGCGGAAAGGTGGTTGTGGTTGCCATTCGTGGTGCTGACAGCTGTCAACCTTCTACGCAGCCCCGCGAAAGGTTGGTAGACTTCGCTCAGCATGCAGATGCCGTACACCTCTTCGATGAGTTCAGCAGTGTCGCGGCTGTAACCGTTGATGAGGCCCCTGACGGGGGGTGGCTCAGAGTTGCACCACGTCACTGCGTACACAGCTTCAGCAGGGCTGCTTGAAGGGAGAGCGGAGCCTAGAATGCGCGGGCTCACCCGCTAGCTTGGCACTGAGCCGGCAACCAGCGCAAGAACCAGACTCGTCCTCGCAACTAAGGCAAGAGTCACTGCGGCAGGGTCTACCAGGGTGCGCTGGACAACGGCTACTTCGTAGAAGCTTTGCAGGCACTCGCTGAGCATCATGCGGTTTCCACGTTCTGAGGCTGCTTATGCCTGGGTCGTTTCTTTCGTTACAACTAAGACTCTGTAAAGGGTTGTGGGCAGTGGTATCCAGAAGCCGTATCGCGCTGTGGCTGTGTAGTGCCAGACCCACAGTTCGGACTGTTGCGTTCGTTTGTCGTTTCGGTTTTTTGTACTTGATTTGAGGGAGAATTTAGCCCTGTGTGCATATAGCTGTAGTCAGCAGCAATAGCTGAACATGTTGAGCCTGGAATTCGAGCCCAGAATCGTGGAAACGCAGCCAGGGGGATTGCCTCTCAGGGCAGTTAGGCCTCAGCGCAAGCGTCAAGAGATGCCTACCGAGAGGACGACACCCCATTAACAATGAAAGGCCATATCGCTGCGACCGAAGCTCGTCAAGCAGCTCTTCTATGCTTGGCAAGCCAGGAGGCACCTCTCAGACGCGTTAAAAACTGACGTTCTGAATGCAAAGCACAAATTTGACTTGCAGTCCTGCCGGCCGATGTGCGCCAGGTCTGTCTACATAGCCAGGCTCTACAAGCACGGCACCTGGATGCGAGTGGAGGTGGAGCCCTGTCCGCCAGACCTCGAACGCAGGTCATCCCAAGCCTAGGCTTCACAACCTAGTACTCAGAACGAGAAAAATGTCATACCCGAGATCCTCTCAGTGCCTAGGCCCCAGGCCCAGCCGCTTCACCAACGATTGGCCCCAAGCTTTGTAGGATGTCAAAAGTTTGGTGCGGAGCTCCGAGGACGACTATGTCCCCGTCGGTCGGCCCGGAAGGCCAGGACTTTTCCGAAGACCAAATAATTGCAAAAACTTTTAATTAAATGTGGGGGCTGGTAGCGCAAAGACTGTGCGAAGAGCACATGCCCAGAGCGCATGCAACCCCTTCACAGTGCAGGGTCTTGATCTATCGCCAATACCACCGTAAGTCAGGGGGGTTTGAGGTTTGAGATGGAGTTCGCTAGACTGAGGCCGCATCTTCTCAAAGTCTGGTCTGGTCCATTCCACGCCACAGCCTCCATGTCTGCCTCCGGCCTGTTCAGTGCGGAGAATCCAGAAGCACAGGAATGACACAGATGTCAACGTGCCAATCTGCTGCCGCTCCGAGCACTTCCCGCATCTCGATCTGCTACATTACCTAGCATACCAGCGCTTGTCGGGACAAAGCTTGCGATGCAGCCTGCAGAGAAGCCTTTCAGAATGGCTTGGTCTGTCCAGCTCATGAAAGCGACCCTCATCTCAGGAATGTCATCTGGCCAAGCCTTATCGAGAAGGCCTATGTGCCTCGGAAGATGTATTGACCAGAAAGACCTTTGAAGTATAGTCTTGACGAGCCCAGCATGAAGGCCACTCTGATCTCATGTCTATTGGTGTGTATGACACAGCAAGCCTACCTGCTGCCCAACACAGGTGCACTGATGGTTCTGTGCTTTGCACATGCCCATCGCCTGAAGTTCTGTTGCTTTCAACTCATAACCAGCTTCAACATATTCGATCGAGTTTGCACGCCAGTAAGCCTCCAGTTCAGCAATGGTTTGCGTAATCGTGCGTCGCAAGTCCACCCGCAAACTGCACTGAGGCAAAGATCCACACCCTGCGGCTGAGTCCCAGTGCGGTTTCAGAGGAGGACATGGGAGGCTCGATGGGACGCCAGGAGCAGAGCAACCACAAAACCGCCTTTCCCGCGCTATTCGTGCCAGCAGTTCTGGTAGTTCTAGCAGAACCCAAACATGGAACCAGGGAGCGGCATTGCTTCGGAAATTGATCTGTCTTGTCACCCAACATGTCCTTGGCCAGAAAATGCACACAATCTCCGTCGGTGGAGTCGGTGGTTGCATATATATATATATATATATATACAATTTTTTAGTTATATTTATATAATCATATTCCACAGAAGAAGCGAAGCCTGGGTGCACACGAATTGTGGGGAGCTCCGACACTTTCTGTCCACACGAGCGATGCGAATAGCTGAATTCCCAAGATAGTACGAAGAAGAATCGTTGTGGCATTTTTGTCGATCCTTGCTGGGGTCAGGCTGGGAGGCACTGAACGGTGGCGGCAAGGTCGAGGACAGTGCTGTCCGCGGGTTGGCCCAGTGAGGGCTTCGGCGGAAGGGAGACTGCAGCTGGTGCCAGGACGCGCTCGCCGACCTCACGGGAGGCGTCGCCGGCCGTTTCTACACGCAGGACGCACCTCAGCCTCGTTTCAGGCTCCACAGCAGATGGGGTTGTGTCGGGAACCGGATGCAGGTGCACCTAACAATATGCCACGCGGCGTCTGAGACTAACACAGGCTTCAGCATGAAACCCAAAGGGTCCTCAAAAAAAGGCCTCTGACTCCAGAAGCCGGATAAAGCTGAACCTCTGAAAGACTTAGGTCTCCCCCGACCGGCTGTTCATCTACATCCACGACTTGCAGCGGGACTTGAGTTGCTCGTGTCTTGAGATCTCCTTTGTCATAGAAGGCCCATGGCCAAAAGCCACTTCGCGACTTAGCAAAGTCTGCTGCAGCAGCACATCATGTCACCAGGATTGAACCATGTATCACTTCTCCTCACTGAGCATCTCTCCTCGGTTGCAGCCCTGCTGCATTCCCCGACGTCCTGCTGCCTGGCAGGACACACTTTTTGTCTGCAGGCCAAATCCCACGACATGTGAGCTGCAGGGCGTCAGGCCAGAAGGGTGCCTGGCAGGACGATGCGGAGCTTTCTAGCATGTTGCCATTTCAGGGGCGTCTTGTTGGGCTGTCCAGAGACATGAGATGGCGCAGCCGATCTAAGAAGCCGAACACCCTCTTGCAAGAAGCGAAGCCATAAGTGTGGATCGTCTGTGCGTTCGTCTTCTCATTCCATGAGAGTGACGTGGCAGGCTGAATCCGTATTATCCCTATGCTGTAAATCGAGCAGTTCAGTGGGAAGGCCTGCGAGCTGTGTGCTGCGACTGTCCACAGCAGTGAAGGGCCTTCGCGTAGTCTCGCCTCGAGACACGGCTAGAGAGCCACACCGTGGTCCTCTTCGCACTGCTCTCCCGAGTCCGCCCTGCTCCAGCCCCATGCCTCCGCACTTTGCAGACTTTGCACGTTGCTCTGTCGAATTGCTCCCTCGGCTTGTTCTCGAGCGCAGTCTCATGGGGGGGGGGGTGTTTCGCTCGATCCCCTTTCCCTCGCAGGCGGCTTGTATCTTCAGCTCTTCTGCGGAGGTCCGGGTGTCTATGACGGTCCCTTGGCAGTGAGGACAAGCCCACAAGACTCCATGAGATGTAGATTTCGATGGTTAGATGAAGCCTGCTTTGGTAGTCCAGGCTCCGGGAGCTGCTCGAAACACTGAGCTGAGCCCAAGCCTCGTAGACAGGTGGCCTTCAGGACATCACCGTCCCCTATACGCTGTCGCGAAATGAGAAGTATCCTGAGCCTTGGGAGCACTGGGCTCGACTCGAGGTGAAGACATCTTGTGATTATGGAGAAGCATACTTACAAATGCATTGTATAGTGAATCACAGACCTGTGCTCTCAGATCCCCAGGAGCGACGAGAGGATGGCAACTTGGCTCGCATGCACGTTTGATCCCGGAGTCTGAAGCTCATCCGGAGCAGAGATCTCGGGATGTTGATGCCAAGGTGCTCTGGCAGTTTAGGGCCGTCGACCTCGAAAACGAAACTTTCACTCGGCTTTCATTTGACTAACTGGTCTTCAACACGACGGTGGTCTTTCACGATACATGAAGCCACTGCAATGACTGAAGATTAAGAGGCCGCATCTACTCCCTGCATTTTCACGGCTGCTGTTCCTGCGTATCTAATGACTGCTGATACTGCGCGGGCCATTTATCAGCAACCGACTGACAAGCCGACCAGGACAACTCAGAACGAAAACACTGAAACTTCAGATGCCGCTCTGAGTCTCTTGCCCCAAATCAAGCCTTCTCAAGTCTTGCACCGGCAAGAGCATGAGGCTTCTTTTGGCTAAATGCCGAAGACTTCCACGAGTACTTCGGTACCATCTTCGAGTGCCGAGCCTGCCTTCGTTTGTTCACGAACATAGCCAGAAGGGGTGTGGACCCTTGCTGTTCTGTATGTCTAATTCGTAGTCGAGGCAGGGAAACGTCAAGATCAATCATCGAGCTGACATTTTGCCAAATTTTGGTCGATAACCTGCCGATCGAATGCTTTCTCTCCCTCGCACAATGGCAGTAGGCCTTAAGATACGCAAAGCTGCAATGCCATGATGTCCAGAAGTCCATAAACCCTCCAAGGTGCCGACTCGTCAACAGTGGAGATGTCTCGCTACCGGAGATGCCACCCCCGCGATTTGAGACGATCAGGTCTCCCCATCGCAGAGGGGGGGCGCACTTCTTGTTGGGCGGCATTCCGGGCTCCAAAGTTAATGGTTGAACATGTTGAACACAAGTCGCAGGATCCACCAGCCTGAATCTCCTCCATCAGGCCACCGCCTTCAGAGCTGTCGCTCATGGCATCTGGAATGATGGCACCCTGGCATATCAACACGTGTCTTTTGGGCCGAGTGTTTGGATAATCTTCGCACGGTGAGCATGGTGAAACAGCGTTGAGCTTTCCTAGCTGACACGGCGCCAAAAGATCTCCTGGGCATGTGCTGGCAAGCTTGTGTGGAAGTGTTTCGGGTATGTAGCATGATAGCCAGCGAGAAAGCTGGCAACTTCAGGCTCCAAGCATGGGCGATATGGGCCTTGCAGGCGTTGTTCGGCCGCAAAAGTAAATTCGGGACCAGAGCCCTTGGTCCTTTCCGGCTTTTACTTGCATTTCCGAGAGGAGGGGGGGCAGGTCGTTCTGGAAATTCAGACTCGATTGATGCATGAATCGGGAAGCAGGCATCACGCAATGAATGTTCGCAGACTCGTAGGGTTGAAGAGACATTGTTGTTATCGGCCCCATGTCATCGATCTCTGAACGTTGAATCCTAAGCATGAAAGTAGTGGAGCTGCCAGGAAGCTTGTTCAAAAAACATTTTCATAATCAACTGAGAACTGGAATGTTGAAGAGCATGGGCGAGTGGATTGGAGGTTGTTAGCGTGCAGTCTGCAAGCTTTCGTTGCCATATGCCGCAGCCATTTCTTACCGCGTACCAACCGCCCAGTGAAGAGCCTCTAGCATCTCGGCAGCAGGCATGTTTTTTGCAAGTTTCTTTGAGCCGCTGCGGACTTCTCGTTCCCGAGCGAGGCCGCCATGGACAAACGAACTGTGGGCTGCCTTGGTGGAGGCAGATTACTGTGTCTAAGGATGGAAGGAATGGGTTTCATTCTTGTTTTCGGCTTGGGATCGAACTCCAGCATGCAATGTGGCTTGCTCGGTGCATGCAGGCCAGCTGGGCCGAATGATGGTCTACGCTGCTCATCGATTGGGAGCTTCCTTGGCGAGATAAGCAAAAGCACGCGATTGTGTGTTTGCAAGGAAGTAGGAGGTTGATCGGGCGGACGAAGCTGCAGCCATTTGCAGCCAGCGAGATCATGTTGCTGTGGAGCCTCCAGGGTACGTTGACTAGCAAATCGCTGTTTGAGGGATGTAGAGACGCAGGAGCCAGAAGTTTTGAGTGTGAGACTCAGTGTTCAGGGCTTTGGGGACTTAGGCTTTGGGCTAAGCTGTGGAGTTGCAGGAACGTGCGGTTTGTAATATCACACTGCTGTTTTGATGCATGGCGCCTGCGCAACTTAGGTTAGGATGTGCGTGCTCGATCCGCTGGGAGAGAAGTCTCCCGCCGGACAGGTGCCGCCGCCCCTGCCATGACCGGCCGCATGATATTTTGAAGTATCAGGTGTTGTGCTTGACTCCAGTCCAGGCACACTGTTTTTCAGAACGACAATCGCTAGCCTTCGTTTCAATCTTGGCAACACTGCAGCCGTCCAACGTGCCAGGTTGCCGAAATGTCGGTGAAGGGCAGCTTCCAGGCTGGCCGGTTCTAGTCCTCACATTGCCGTCGAAACTGAATGGAGTGAAGTTCTGCATTTTATCCGCAACCTCACGCGGGTGTTCAACTTGTAGCACAAGCCACTGCACCGAAGTTACATTGTGCGTGTTGCGTCGAAGACTCGAAGTTGCAAGTCGGACAAGCGTGCGCATCAGAAAAATCCTTTCCTTTAATTGTGAACGCCGTAAAACCCTCTCCAGGATGCCGAGGCTGTCCGAGCATTGGCAAAGAAGTGCGACATCCTCACGCTCGAGGTGGAGCACGTCAACGCGGAGGCTACTGGCAATCGTTCTAATTGCGAGCACCGATCACGTTACTGTTGAGTCAACAGGAATCACAACTGCCCATCACCCACTAGCAAGCACTAGCAAGCCACCAAAGTGAACGGTATCGGCTATTTGGTAGGCCTTGGAGGCATCCAAAATACCGTTGTACCATCGCCGCCCCCGCCGGGCATCAGGCATCACTGATCCACTGTACTCACGTAAAACTGTAGTAAACCTGAGCCTTGGCTCAACGCTTTCATCACCGCCTGGGTTCCACCCCATTTCCATCACAACTGCAAGAGCATCGTCAACATCAGCATGGCAATTGTTCTCATTGTGGTGTTAATCACCCTGCCGCCGCCGCTGATCAGGCGCATCGTGATATCATCGTCACCATCCGTGTCGTCGTCATCATCATCACGACCATATTGGTCTGTGACCTCCAACAGAGCCTTAATGGTGTACCTGAGACTGCAGAAGTCAATCTGCGCAAACTTATGTGATTTGTCCAGGCCTCAACTCTGAAGCCCTAAGACTTGTTGTGAAGCCTTGCCTCACTTGTGCCACTAAACCCTAAACCTGTGGCTAATTTGCTAGCCTTGGGCCAACGTGCTCTTCGCCTCGTACCAGTAAACTCGCCCAGGCTTGTCCGAGTGCTGAAACTTTAAACCATGAGACTTCAGATTTGCGCGAGGTGCTCGAGGAGCTCCATCAGGCCGGCGTTCCGGTTCAGCCGCTTCCCTTCGTGGTGAAGCTGATCCAGGCCTGTTTAGGTGGCTAGACTAGGCTGGTATAAAAATCTCCTCAGGTCATTCTTGGGTCCCTTCTATAAGACTGTCTTTCAGGCTCACATGATCATAGATAAACAGGTTTCTGTGATGATTCGAGATTTGAGGTAGCTTTGGGATGTAAGATCGAAGCGCCTTAAAGGTCCGGTGACTAGGGCTGGCCGGCTGCGGCTCCAAGTTGCAGAGGGAACACGAGTTGTCGATTTCGGATGTGGCCTTGTAAGACATGCAAGTGCATTGCATCCACGCCGTAAAAGTAGCAAGTATGTTGCAAGGGCAATTGGGACCTGACACCTTTGCCGCCAGGACAAGTACGTCCAGCAACTCAGATGGTTTATGTCAGTTGTTGTTCCTCGTGCTTGTGCATTCGGATCTTTGGTCTAACTTGGGTTCTCTAGCTTTACAGGCCAAATGGAGCATGCTTGAGGAATCCCGACACTTTAGACTGGGAATGTCTCAAAGGCTCCTTGGTGTGTCTTTCTCTTGCATGCCTCGCAAATCTCAGGAAGGTCCATCTTCAAAAGCATGGTGTGCCTTTGCCCGAGTTCGAGAAGGTCGAGTCCGACACTTGTACAGCAGAGCCGACTTTCGTGACTGCACCCGCACGAAACGCAAGCTTCGATAGGCCGCTTACAAATGTGGCGAGCGTCAAGTTCTGTTAGTGTGAGACCTGTTAACTTCACGAAAGATGACTAGGAAGCTGACTTGCACAGCATCGGCGAGCGATTTGGCTACCCCATGATGCTCAAGAGCAGCCTCTAGCCTGCACCGTGTTGGTGCATGTCACGTTTCGGGGTCTACCCAAAGTCGCCCAAGTTCAGAGTCTCGTAGGAGTATCTCCTGTCGCTTCGAGAGAAGAGTTCTGAAAAGAACGTAGTTCTGTTTGCTAGTCGGAAGATTCTGGTAGGTGTTGACACATCTTCAGGCACATCATTTACTGTTGGACCGGCTGAAGTTGAGGATACGGTGCCTACGACGGCAAGGGCAATGCTGTCGTGCCCAATGCGCCCCTGGCCTCGGAAATATGGGTTGCCACTTCCATCCGGACTTGCATTAAACGACTGCGATGGAATTTCGTAAACCTGCGAAGCCCCAGAATCTTGCCTGATGGTTGCTAGAGAAGCCGAGGCAGGGCATCGCAGCAGCCTTCGAAAAGCTTGGTGGCAAGGCCGGAAAGCATCTCGGCCCTTGCGGGGCTTGGCGTTTCGGAAGTTAGGGGTTTATGGATGTGTGGGAGCAGGGCATTGGTTCGGCTTCGGGCGCAAGATGCCCCGAGAAAAGAGCCAAGCCAGGAAAGGGTTCGGATTCGTAGCATTTTAGCATTCGTCCTTTGCTGTTGCGTCGATCCGTGCCAGCCAAGGAAGTTGTATGAACCTTGGCAGCACACAGGGCTACCAGAAGCTGTGGAGTTTGCATCAGCCTGCATTGTTCAGCAGCTGAATCAACAGTCCCGAGCCCAGCTGAGTTCGCAATAGAATCTGCCCGAGAAAACTGCTGAGGTGGAGAAATGGGCTCCTTTCACGATGGAGCTGGCAGTGATGGTCGCACGTGGTGTGGACGAGACCATGAACGTCACCATGCGCAGCTGCGAGAGCAACTAACAAATTATGCTACAACAGTCAAACCCAGAGGGGCACTACCGAAACCCGAATCTTGGAGGATCCGCACGGCGCACGCCGTGAAAAAAATCCAATGCCGTATCAAACGCAGCCATCCTAGGTCCTACCTGTAGCACAAACTGACCACCGCCTTTGAAATTGTAGACCGAGGCACGTACCCAGTGGTGCATACCGTCCAGCGCGACAGTGTTTGCTTCACCTGCCTGGCGCCTCCGGTGGGAGCTACTTGGATTTTGTTGGACCGGGTTTTGACCTCAAACCCGCGAGACCGTTGCGTCAAGCTCCAGTAGAGACCATTCTCGACAAGGTTACGCAGAAGCAGCAGGAGCTAGCGCAGAAGATTGCCACCGACGCTATCAAGAGCTTTGGTGACTGGGATCATATTTGTGCCCTGAATCCGGAAAAGTTTCAGGCCCTCTATCGTGTCATCCTGAACATTGGTACAAGCAAGGCTTATGCCGTATGTTTTTCATTCGTGGTTATGGCGAGTATGAAGCAGGATCGTATGGTTAGATTGATGGCTGCTACCGATGTTGATGCTGGGGCTTGTGTTGGTGCTTTTGCTGATGATGATGCTGGACATGACCTTGGTGGCGGTCGTGCTCAATATGCTCCTCGGGTTGACCATGGGTAACCATTTTGGGCGCCTTTGAACAGGACTCAGCCTTGAGCCTGCACCCTCACCTGACTTCATTCTCAATCCCACGGGCAAGAGCACCGATGGGGAATCAGAGGCGACGCTCGGGGGATCTTTGGCGTCGAGATGTTCCTTCTTGAGGATGGCTCCGTGCTGCTCAACGAGCTACTCGAATGGTGTTCCAGATGACGTTTCACATTAAGCTTGGTAATCTAGAGGTGGACACAGAATGTAAAGTCCGTTTTGCAAAGAATGCGGGTTATCTCCCATGCTGTGCCCAGCAGAGCTCAGGATCGCACCGCGCCCGCACAACACGGGCCACTACACCATGGCTTCTTGGAACGAAGAAGGGTTCAGGGCAAGCCGAACGTGCAGGATAGATGGTTAGCCGTTTCGGCCGCCTTTGCACAGCAGAGCTCACAGAGTAGTGGAAGTGCGGTGATATTAATCCTTGTATTGACAG